AAAGCCTTAAATGATATTAGAAGAGGTTGTAAATATAGAGCTGCCTCTGAAAAATACAACATTCCTAGAAGTACATTATATGTTTACTATAAAAGGAATAAACCAGCAGAGGAATATCAAACAACTTTCATCAATCCGTTTTTAGTCAATCTTAAAACGCCGAAGGGAGTTGGAATCAAGTTTCAATGCGATCACTGTGGCAAGTCTTTCGATAGCAAACGAGGTGTAAGATGGCATCTATTAAGAAAACATTTTGAAGTTGGTTCTTATCCTTGTGATTTTTGTCAAAACATTTCTATCACTTCGAGGCTGTTATTAGAACATCAAAGGAATAAACATAAGAAAAAATATTTTGATCAGCAAATAGAAAAAGTAATTCAAGCACAGAAAAAAAGAGTTCGTAAGGAGGCAAAGCGCTGTAAAACCTTCGGATCGTTACCAAACAGTAAGTTTTAATTTATCCCATGATTCAATTATATTTTCAATTTCTTTTTGTCTTTTTTCAGGTGAAAATTTGAGGAAAGCCTTAAAGGATATTAAAAGAGGTCGTAACTATAGAGCTACCTCTGAAAAATACAATGTTCCTAGAAGTACATTATTTCAGTACTATAAAAGTAATAAACCAGCTGACGAATATCAAACAAATCTCATCTATCTTAAAATCCCGAAGGGAGTGAAGTTTCAATGTGATCGCTGTGGCAAATCATTTGAAAGCAGACGAGGTGTAAAATGGCATCTATTAAGTGTACATTACAAAACTGGATCACATCTTTGTGATTTTTGTGGCAAAAAATTTATCAATCCGAGCAGATTGACAGCTCATCAGTTGAAACATAACGAAAGAAATATTCAATGTGATTATCCAGATTGTGGAAAACTTTTCAGAAGCGAAAAGGAAATGCAAAGACATAGAAAAGGACATTACATCGAGCTAAGAATAAAATGTCCTTATGAAGATTGCGAAAAGAGTTACAGCAGAAAGCCTCATTTAGATATGCATATTTTCATCAACCACAAGAAAATCAGAGAAAATTGTCCAGTTGGAAATGGCTGCAAATTTTCAGTTGGAAGAAAATGTTACATGAGAGCACATCTAAGGAAACATTCTGAACTTTCTCCTGAAGAATTAGAAAGACATATTAAAGATTTATCAAAGTTGAATCTTTATCAGGATTAATTCTTTTCTTATCGAAACTTTAATGAAGAATGAAGAAATGCTATTTGTATTTATTTGTTAATTTTAATANTTATAAAACTCTTATAAGAGAGAAACAATACTTTTTTGAAAAATTCTTAAAATCAAACAACTTTATCGACAACTGCTCTGAAGAAATTAAACAGGAAATCATTTTCAACACAGTTTTTATTAAAACAGAACCTGAAGAGAATTCATCAGTCGTTCATCATCCAACCGATGAATTGCTTTTTGAGCATTTACCTGAAGTTGAATGTTTAAAGAAAGCCTTAAAGGACATTAAAAATGTACATATTCAACCTGATTGTGGAAAAATTCATAATGTGGCCCGTCGCTGTCAAATATACGACCCAAACCGAAACAGTGAGTTTGAATTTATTTTATGATTTAAGAAATAATGACAATATAAAACTTGAGCGCATAGATCTAACCCGGATGCATTCTTAGCTTAATCTTTCAGAGATTTCTTAGCTTACTTGTGTTACTCACTTGTATGCATTTATTTAATTTAATTATATTGTCAACTATTTTTTTCTTTTATTAGGTGAAAATTTAAGGAAAGCCTTAAAGGATATTAAAAATGGTTATAAATATAGAGCTGCCTCTGAAAAATACAAAATTCCAAGAAGTACCTTATTTAAGTACTATAAAGAGAATAAACCAGCTGAGCAATATGAAACAAATCTCATCAATCTAAAAACGCCGAAGGGAATTGGAATCAAATTTCAATGTGATCGCTGTGGCAAGTCTTTTGATAGCAAACGAAGTGTAAGAAGGCATTTACTTGGAGTACATTCCAAAAAACATATTCAACCTGATTGGGGAGAAACGTCCAAAAAGAGAAACGAAATACAAACAAACAGAAAAGGAGTTCATAATATGGTCCAGCGCTATCAAAAAAACAATCCATACCAAAAATGTGAGCTTGAATTTATTCATAATTTATGAAATAATGACTTAAAATAGGACTTGATCGCATAGATCCAACCAGCTTCCTTACTTTGCTTAATCTCTCTCTTTAAAAGTAAAAGAAAAATTGTTTATAAGTAATCCATACAAGTAAACTGACAGTTATCTGATATCATGAGCTAAGGCAACAGATTCACAAAAAAATAATTCAATAAGAAAAATAGAAATCGAGTTGTATCTATGCTTGACCGGTTCACATGCTGTAATTATATTTATAAGTTAATTTAATTATATTTTCAACTGTTTTTGTCGTTTATTAGGTGAA